ATATATATATATATATATATATATATATATTACTTTTTAAGGCTATGTTATTTGAAAAAAAAAAGAAAAAAGCAAGCTACAATAAAGACAAGTATCATACTTTTATGCTTGACGTGTCATCAACAAATTATTATCATCATACATAAATCTTTATGCATTTTGAGCAAAAAATACTTTAAATGCAAATTCAAGATTATTTGAGCCATAATTTCAAAAAGATTATAATCAAGTTGGCATTTGGACAAGAAAAATTCAATGATGCTAAAAGTGATCAAATCTGAGTCCAAATATACCCACAACAAATATTTAAAGTATAATCGAATGCTTTTGTGCACTAATTAGAAGATTAAACGATCTCAAATTTTAAAATATTTATAGTCAAATCAACCAGCTCAATGATATAAAACCGATCAACACAAGCCCATGTAATTCTGAGATTATTAAAGCACTTAAATGTTGAAAATAACTATTGGTGCTTCAAAAAATCATGTGGATTATTTGGTGGAATGTTTCGAAAACTTGGTTTAAGTGCCTGTTTGGGGCAGCTTATTTGGTGCGGTGTGTTTTCAAATCATCAGAAGCCACATTTGGTTGTTGCAGCGCAGTGGATTATTATAATAATTCCATCGAAATTTCTATTAAAACACATTCCCGGAGTCAGCCTTGTGGCCCGTGTTCCTTTGCATGTTCGTTACCCCGCTACCTTCGTGCCTCTCTTGTGTCTCTTCTGCTCTAGGTGTCGATCGCTCTCGTGAACTTTGTAAGGTCGCATTTCTCTCCCTCTCGCGTATCTCTCGTGCTTAGCATCACTTTTCTTCTCTTCCTCCCTCCTCCCTCCGGTTACAATTCTAAGTAATTCCTGTGGTAATTTTCAACGGACTGGTATTTTTATGCAATTTTTGGCTCTAATTTGCAGTTTGTTGTGAGATGTTTGTGATATTCGTGATTTGTGACTTTCTGATTTGTCATTTTTCGGTTTGTTGATTTTCGATTTGGATCTTGCAATAAAAAAAGGAAAATGTTGAGTGCTGATTTGGAGAATGGATGAAAGAGTTTGCTTGATTTGTTGAGCATGAATATGAAAAATGGATGAAATGGGGTGCTTCATTTGTAGATAGCAACATCTCGGCTGCCATCCTTGAAAAATGGATGAAATAGGGTGCTTGATTTTGTACATGGCATTTTTTCGGGTAGCCGGTTTGATAAATGAATAGAATAGCTACTTCTATGGCTGCTTAATTGTTCTCTATTTGCTCAGCTAGGTGATGATGATGCCTTTTACTGTTGTCAAATAAATTGAATATATCAAATGTATCTATATATGTCAAATTCCTTGTGCTTTGTTATTATTTGAATTGTTATTATTTGAAAGAATTACATATATACTAAATTTCCTGTATAGTTACATATCTAACACCTAAACTCTCAATGCTTCTA